AAAGGTCTTTACAAAATATGTCACCATACTGACAAAACAAAGTTGAAGTTTTGGGAATGCAAATTAACTAAATAAAAATAGTTTTCAGTTTTTGTTGTTGTATCCCCGTAAAAGTAAGTGATACCTCTGAAAGTTGTGAAAAAATAGTTTTCCGTGTTTATTGATGTAGTGTATTTCATAATGTTGCATTACTATGAACAACATTCCTAATGATACTAAACGGGATAGCATGGATGGACATGAATGATAATACGATTGCCATGTATCGGTTTATGCTTTCCGTGTTGCAATGCTGTGCCATCATGAGTGTCAATTTAGGTCCTCGCAAAATATTGGTGCAGCTTGCCCTAAGTTGCTCAAAGCAGGGTCACAACAGAGCTGGTGGGCTACTAGCTATTTCTTTCTTTTTTCTCCATCTTTGCCTCTCTGTGTAGTTCTATCGCGTATATTTTTTTCTCTCTTTGTCTTTCTGTTCATCATTTTGTCTTCCTTTCCCTTTGTACTCCCGCCCCTTCTCGTTTCCCTTTTTCTATCCCTAACTCACTTCCCTCACTCTTTTTTGTATTATTCTGCATTATATTATACCATACCATACTGTACAAGACTATACTACACGTGGTTATGCTATGCTTTGCTAACGTGCAGAAACAGACGTGTGGTTGCTATGCTTGGCGTGGGGAAACAGGTATGAATCTCGCCGCGCCAAGAATTTTTTGTTCACCGAGATTTTCTCTGTTTCTTTTTATCTTTTTTTTTCTATCACACGCTTTTTTTCTTTCTGCGTACTCGTTTTTTTGCCCGTCTGAGTTCTTGCATACGATGCCGGATAAAAGGACGCATGCATTCGGACAGCGAAGCAGAAAAAAAATTGAGATAAAGATGAAGAAGGGGGCAAAGAGAGTGTGTCCTTAGTAATCTTGATGACAATTTTCTGTCTATGGCACATGGCAAACTTTGGGCCTAACAACTCTGCTGTACTATTGTCACCAGCATGAGTGATTTTCGTTTACTCCTAACGCGAGTACCTTGCTGTAAGACTGTGTTGTGGGGGTGTCAAAAAAGTGCCTTATTTTCATGCTGTGGAATCGCATACAGACCTCCGTATCACCCTGTTCATTGCACTGAGCGAGAGATCGTAAAGTGGGCAACCTTCAGCGCACATTACCTGAGTGTAGGCTAGCTTTTACTATAACGAAGAAGCATTGGACAAGCTAACATGTTGAATGAAAGAACAAATAAAAGAACAAAGAATTGTCGGTAACGCCCGGGAGAACTATTGAGAAAATTGTGAAAGTTTAGCCTTATTAACTCTGCATTAGCTTAATTGTAACGCGCCGGCTGTAGGACAGATACCTGTGATTCAGTGCTATGTTTCGCAGGTTGTGAAGCCCCCTTGTATGGTCCCTAAAGACATTTCATTTGTTTATACCTAATTCCCAGAAAACTTTTCTGTAAGTCAAGTAAGTAATACCATGTGATAGTGATTGATTCCTGTATTTCTTAAGCTGCACACCGGTGCTCAAGACAGCAGTTGTGCACCTCATATTCTCTTTTGAAACAACGTCATAATCATCACTGGTAGAATCGGATCCAAGTTTATGGTGTCTCAAGTACGAATGTTCTTATTTTTAAAATTCACTAGCAAGATTTAGTTAGGCAGACCACTCTGCACGTATTTAGATGTGCTAACAAATTGTAAAATTTTGTATACTTTTTCTGGCGATTTAAAGCTCCCGTATTGCGAAAAATTACCAGTGAACATCAATCAAAAGAAGGCTTTTGAGCTGTGTTTTTCAGCACATTATATTTCATTATTTTCAAATCTTTACTTAGCTTGAAAATCACAACGGTTCACGTCTTATGCACCTCTAGATGTATGCCTTTGAATGGGAAAAGGTATTATCATGCTTTTTTAAACTATAAATGAAGGGCTCAAAAACTGGTGTTGAACCTGGTTTTTAAGAAGAAATATTTATGACATTATAATATCATATAGTTATAAGGTTACAGAAAAAATTAGGGGACCCTAAATTTTTACCTTTAATTGTTGAACACCAAAGCTACATCCAGTTTCTAGTGCGTATTGTAAGCATGAAACCTTTTCGAGTTTGCTATGCACCCACTATACGTGGCCTTAAGAGAACAGGCGGAATAGAGTGTGTGCCTTTTATAGTGGGGTATCGGCTTTCAACCATGAAGCCACTATGATAATCACTCATTCTGACACACGTTGGCAATGGACGCTTGTACCACGCATCATTACTCCAACATTTCATGTTGCATTGTGAAGCATGTGTACAGGACGCGTTTGTTTGTGAAGCACGAAAGCTACTTTCACTGAATTTCCTAGCTGAGGAAGTTATTTTCACTGCTTTCACAAGTAAAGGCTTGGCCCTCTAGTAGAACATTCACTTGCCACGCAAACGACGCGGTGTCGATCCCCACTCAAACCCGCACAACCCTGGTTCGGTCTCCACTTTGCTACGAGATATTTTTTATTTACATAATTTATTTGCATCGTCCTAGATTTTTAAGTCACGCATGAGGTGATGTTTTTTCGCTCGCAATCAACGACGCCGACGCCGAAATTTCAGGGAAACAAGGTCTTTAACGCTATCTCGTTAATGTGTGAAATCGCAAAGTCTTCTCGAGTGATTCAAGCATCCGGCCTTATCGGACCTCCTGTCGGAACGTTATGAAATCACGACAGTTGATTAGTGGAGCGTGCGAAGGCACCAGTCATGTAACGTTTGCAGTATGCAGATGCAACACTCTGTTAGTGCGTTACTAATGTACTCTATTGGTTTTATTTCTGAAAAATTAACCGTACGAAACATTAAGTTGTAAAGGGTGCTTTGCCACAGCTAGACTACTATGACGGCGAAGCCCCTTTTTGCTCTCGATGAAGAACTTCGTTCGAGAATGCGTAGAAGAAGGCACCGGCTACGTGATGAACAACAAAAACAGGCAAGAGCTAGACGTCGCTCGTATTTTGGCATTTCATCGCACACTTTAGTTTTATCTCTGTATTTTTATTCAAATGGTTTCACGCCTTTTTTACACCAAACAAAAGTAAACCAATGAGCTAAGCAACAAGTAACGACAGGAGAAATGGGGGTTAACTGCCCTTTGCCACAAGCTTTGTTTACTGTTTTGATGAACTTAAATGACAAGACATTTAATGACAGCAATAATGAATCACATCATTAGAACTAGTGCCGATTTTGTAAGTGTCATTCTTCATGTGTTCGCTTCATTTGGCGAAACTGTGGGTTGACACCCGAACAATTAAGCTGTAGAGGAACTCAACTGTAATATTAAAAATCACTGCTTCCATATTTCGTGATTCATGATAACTATAGTGAAACATATTATTTTTTGTTATATTACTTCTCGTGTGTTAGCATAACGCTGAAATTGCATGGTTGCAGCTTATCCCTTAAGCTTAACCACTGGTTACAACTAAAATGTTATTATTACAACGAAAATGTACAACTAAAATAGTTGAGTTTCCGAAATTCACAGTTAGGTCGCCACTCGATGGAGGCGAAGTGTTAAAAAACTCTTGCATTTTGATTCAGTCATGCGTTCAAAAACCAGAGAGTCACGGTTAATACGAGTTGCCTGCTACAAATTGCTGCATAAACTTGTCGTCACTTTCGCCAAGTAAAGCCACTGAACTTAAAGAGACATGCGTAACTTGAGCCAACGCTGTCTTCATGACGCAAAGACTATTCCTTGTTACAGCAACCAATCCTTCCATTCCCACACAAGTGCTTTGTGTTATATAGCTTCACGGGTGGACCACAGACTGCTTTTTCTGTACATCTTTGATACATAAACACGCCGTATTTACAACTGTCAGCTCGATCCCAGCAAAAGAAAAACAATTCCACGTTATGGTTGCACAACCTGCTACACAGAGTAAGTAAGTGTTCGTGCACTGTGGATATCATGCAATACATTTTCTTTTGCAAGAGAACCGAATACGAACGAGTGAAAATTGAAAGTGGTAAAAGCGCTATTTCACCGAATTACGGTAAATACAAGTGATTTAACATTCATTCTTCTCTTTTTGTGCCAACAACATGTTAACTGACAGATCACACTGTGATATTACTTTTCACCTATGCTTTACTTTCACTAAAAATATATTCTTCTACGTTCAAAACTCAAGGCGATTTTTTAAGCCATGCATTCATTTTTCAAAGGATTACCACCAGAATTCATTTACTTTGATTTAAAAAAGACCGCGTCGTCTAGCATTAGAAAGCTCTTTATATTAAGACTAAGATTTCGCGCGTGGCTTGAAGTGCACATTCTTTTTTTCTTGCGCGAATTTTTTCATACTGGCAATAAAATAAAACCGTAAACGACTCTTTCTGAATTACAGACCTCACACTGAAGCTTATGAGCCGGAATTGGCGAAAATGTTTGTGGAAACTCACCGAGTTAATACGCACGTGCCGCAGAAATACAGGTGCAACTATTAGCATACTAAGCATTTTTCTCGCAGTGTTTAAACATGCTGGAGATGTCAGCCGACGCATTTGTTGTGTTGACATTCCCGTTAGACTTACCACGCTCTCCAACGTTACTTCTACAAGACTGCGCAGTTCCTTCACCACTCACTGCTTGTTTGGCAGTTTCTCTACGCTAACAAGATTGACAGTTTCATTCATCGCACGCGTTCATATCTCTTTCCAACCTGGCATAGCGCAACTGACTGTGAAGTTAATTGGCTCGCCTTTACCGGGTGACTGAACAAAGCAGTGGAAGTTTTGTTATTGACGAGTCAGCGTCATTGAGCTGGCCGGTGGCCCGTCGTTCTACTGCCTTATGACATCTGCTGCGGTGGGCTGCCCGCAAAACAGTGCGCAACGTCGTCGGCACGCGTTGGCAGTGGGCCCCTTCAGCGCCAAGAGTGGTTAGCACCCTTGAGGCGGAAGCGTCCCGCGGGGGCGGCGCGTGGCGGCGTGCGTGACACGCGGTCCACTCACCGGCAGTGGGGCTCGTGCGCCCGAAAGCGGCCGAGGTGACGATTGCGGGCCGCTCGTCGGCGGCCTGGTCGCCGAAGAGCGGAGCGCAGGGCGCCGTCTCGGCCTCGCTGGGGCTTAGGGGCTCGCGGTACGGCCAGCGTCCCGACGAGGCCGGCCCCGCGGGGTGCTTGGTGGCCGCCTTCTTGACGAGGTAGCAGCGCGGCATGGTGCCGGCCCCGGGGCGGCGCGCGGCCTGGCTCAGCTGCGGGTCCTGCGCATGCCGCGGGCCGAGCAGCGTCCGCCAGCGCTGCCGCTCCGCTCGCGTCTGGGGGGGTTGCCGTGGGCCTCCGTCGGAGTGTGTGGAAAACGGGGAAAAAACGACCAAACAAACGGTGCGCACGGTTTTGTCAAACTGGAAAACCTGAGTTTACACCTCGGGCTTTGTTTTATAGCGGGCCCTCGCCGCCACCTCCTCCGCCTGCCGACCTCCTCTCCCCCAACATGAGGCGGACGCATGCGCAGAGCACCAGCCGACCTTCCACAGGCCTTTCCTTCCCACGTGAGGCGCCGCCCTCTCCCGGCAACATCCCTATGGGGAAGGAGGTCATCCCGGGAGAAGATGGAAGCAGACCCTTCCCGCGCGCACTGTCCGCGCGGCTGTCGGCGGCGAGAGGGTGCCACTGCCGCGCGCCGCACTGCCGGCAACCGCGTCACTGTGTTTCCTTTCACTCGAACCTAAACATCAGCTCCTGCAGTCCATAAAGGCGCCAGCCTGGACCAAAAGGCGCGGAAGAGGCAGAGTAGCGTAGCAAGTTTCTGACGACGAAAGCTAGAGCAATCGTGGAATCGCACCTATTGTAATTTCCACGTCATGGTTACTTACGGATACGTTGAAAAAATATGGTGATGCACCAGGTGAAGCAATAGTACGTGTGACTGTTGATGACTAAAATATTAATAAGAAAATTTCAGCATATCTTCGAATCAAAAGTAGCAATGAAAGATTGATGATCGTGGATCACTACGCGTAACTACCGAGAGCACATTATTATATCCAGTTATAGCGACAGTGCAGCTGAAACGAATCATTGTGGGGACTATTACCCTTTGTGTAGAACAACACCAACAGCTGCAAATCGTATCCATGACCTCACCCTCAAAAAGAAAACGTGGCAGTGACTCAGTAACCACACCGAGTATTCTTCAACATTTCAGCCTGGAATGTAATACATGTTAGCAGTCTCGTTTATACAACACAAACAAAAGCACAGTGCTTTCATTTTTTTTCGTGCTTATTATTCATTGATTTTGAGGTGAAAGAAAAATGTGTAAGCGGATTATTGAGCCCACTCAGTGAACAATTACCACGCTTCACTGCTCTTACGCGGCAATATTATTCGTGAAAACTCAATACTGTTAATTTTTATGATTATTTGAGGACGTGTTTAATAATATAATGTCATGGATTTTGTGTGTTTCGCTGCTTCTTTTTGTTCCTTATACCAAGTTGAGTGTATAAATCAAAACAAGTCATAAACAAAGCTTCCTTTTCCCACGTTATGTTGCGTGAGCGGTAATTTCTGTGAAAAAAAAAAAAAAACTCCACCCACAACTCATTATTTATATTTTTATTTTATTTGGTTTGCGTGGTTGAAAACGTGTTTGGCCAAGACGCAGCAATCTGCAGCAATTTGCAGTTTTAAATCATTGAAATAAATTACACAGTTAACGCAGAGAGATGGAATTTGTCTCTAAATGGCTCTTAAGACTTGGTATATTGGCCCAGTGTGTTTTTACGACATCGCCAAAAATGTTTCAGGCTCCCTTTGAGCAGAATTCATCGACTACAAGACATACTAAATGTTTTTTTTTCTTTGAAGTGGTTTCAACAAGTCTCGTGGCTGTGTGAAAGAACATCCGCTTGCCTTGCAAACGGCCTTAGTTCGACCTTTAGTTGGACTCGTAAAATTAGTAATATTAATTTTATTTGTATCTTTTTCTGTTTTTTTTCGTCATGGATAGGATCATGATTTCTCACTCACAACCAACAACGGCCACCTCAACGCGGCCGCCGGAATTTCTACAAAATGAGCTCTTTCATGTTGTCGTGGTAAAATTATAGTTAGGTGATGCCACGATCCATGCCCGATTGACCAGACTTTCCCGAGTATCCGGGCTCGACGCCGCCAGCACTTTTTCATACATTTTCCAATAGCCTCCAGCCATTTTATTGTATCCATGTTGAGCAGCGGTGGCTTAGTGGTTAGAGCATCAGCCTCGCATGCAAAAGGTCCGTGGTTCAACTTCCGGTGCCATTCAGTTCCCAACCAGATAACAAAAAATCCGCGTGGTGATGAAACTGCATTAGGAGGCCTGGGGTGCAGCCTCACCACTGACCATCGCCGGTAACGCACTTCCTCACCAGAAAAAGATTGGCCACCCTGGTGCAGTATCTGGCCACTACCTCCCACATGCATATGCCAATTAGCTCATGGCCCTCAATCCCCAGCGGCTGCGAAGCAACTGACCATGGCCGTGGTCTGATCTGCAATGCAGCTGAGAGTGCTAAGAATATCTGGGTGCGGACAGGCCCCCATTAGAACCTGATCTTGGCAACGTTAACGCTAGCATCTTAACTAGTGAGGCAAGCCTAGTTTTACTATTCGAGGTGCTAGAGGGTGTTAAATGGGATGTAATAAGGCTCGGTGAGGTTAGGAGGACATATGAGGCCTATGCGGTGCTACAGAATGGGCCCGTCCTTTGCTATCGTGAGCTTGCTGACAGAAGAGAACAGGGTGTGGGGTTCCTTATCCACAGAAATATAGCTGGCAATCAGAAAAATACAATAGCGTAATAAAAGAGTGGCAGGCATCGTAATAAAACTCAATAAAAGATACAAAATGAAGGTGGTACAGGCTTACGCGTGTACACCCAGCTATGATGACGCGGCAGTTGAAAGCTTCTATGAAGACGCAGAATCAGCAATGAGTACGGTAAAAACACAGTATACTATACTGATGGGAGACTTTAATGCAAAGGTAGGGAAGAAGCAGGCTGGAGACCAGGCAGTAGGATATTATGACATTGGCACTAGAAATGCCAGAGGAAGCTACTGGTAGAATTCACAGAATGCAATAATTTACGGATCTTCAATACCTTCTACCGAAAGCGAGAGAACAGTAAGCGGACATGTAAGAGCCCTGGTGGCGAAAGTAAAAACGAAATAGACTTTATACTGAGTGCACTCCCAGGCATCGTGCAGGGTGTGGAAGTGCTTGGCAAGGTACGATGCAGTGACCATAAAATGGTACGGTCTCAAATTCGGCAAGACCTGAAGAAATCATGACAGAAACTGATACGCAAGAAGCCAATGGATGAGCTAGCACTAAGAGAGAAAATACAGGAATTCAGAGTCTCACTTAAGACCAGGTACTCAGAGCTTATCGAGAAAATCAGTCTTACCATTGACGCAATGAATGAGAATCTGACCAGTATCATTACGGAGTGTGCAGTGAAAGTTGGAGTACGGTAGTTAGACAAGACACTGGCAAGCTGTCCCAGGAAACAAAGAACCTCATTAGGAAGCGTCAAAGCATGAAAGCCTCAAGTACAACAGAGACAATAGAGTGTGCAGAGCTTTCGAAGTTGATTAATAAGCGCAAGGTATCCGATGAAAGAAAGCACAGCATGGAGAGAATTGAACACGCTCTGAAGAACGGAGGAAGCGTGAAAGCAGTGAAGAGAAAACTTGGGATACGCTAAAATTGGATGTATGCTCTAAGGAACAAACAAGGCAAAATAACTAACAATATGAATAAGATAGTTAAAATAGCGGAGGAGTTTTACAGAGATCTGTATTGTAGCCGGGACAACCACGACCTTACTATAACAACTAGCAGTAACCCAGATGATACCCCACCAGTAATGATAGAAGAAATCAGAAAACCTTAGAGAGCATGAAAAGAGGCAAAGCTGCTGATCAGGATGAGGTAACATCGGATCTGCTGAAAGATGGATTGTGTTAGAAAAACTAGCCACCCCGTTTGCAAGGTGTATCCTGACGGGAACGTACCAAAATCTCGGAAGAATGCTAACATCATCTTAATACATAAGAACGGAGATGACAAGGACTTGAAGAATTACGGGCTGATCAGCTTGCTCTCCGTCGTATACAAGCTATTTACAAAGGTAATTGCTAACAGAATTAAGGCAACATTAGAATCAAATCAACCAAAGGAACAAGCAGGATTTCGAACAGGCTACTCAACAATTGACCACATTCATACAATCAATCAGGTAATAGAGAAATGTTCAGAATACAGCCAACCACTATACATAGCCTTCATAGATTACGAGAAGGCGTTTGATTCAGTAGAAATATCAGCAGCCCATGTTGACACTACGTAATCAAGGCATCGACGAAGCATATATAAACATCCTGAAAGAAATCTACAGGGGATTAACTGCTACCATAGTGACTCGTAAAGAAAGCAACAGAATACCACTCAAGAAGGGTGTAAGGCAGGGGATACAATATTTCCAATGCTATTTACCGCGTGCTTAGAGGAGATTTTTCAGGGGCTGAGAATGGGAGGAGTTAGGGATAAGAGTTAATGGAGAGTACCTTCGCAACCTGCGTTTCGCCGATGACATTGCATTGCTGAGTAACTCAGGGCATGAATTGCAACTTATGATTACGCAGTAAGATAAAGAGAGCAGAAAGGCAAGTCTTAAAATTAATCTGCGGAAAACGAAAGTAATGTACAACCACCCCGGAAGAGAACAGTGCTTCGAGATAGGTAGTAGTGCACTTGAAGTTGTAAAAGACTATGTCTACTTAACACAGGTAATAACCACGGAGCCGAATCACGAGACTGAAGTAACTAGAAGAATAAGAATGAGGTGGAGCACATTCGGCAAACACTCTCAAATCATGACAGGTAGATTGCCACTATCCCTCAAGGGGAAGGTATATATCAGCTGTATCTTGCCGCTACTAAGCTACGGAACAGAAACCTGGAGACTTACAAAGGGGGTTCAGCTTAAATTGAGGACGACGCAGCGAGCATGGGAAAAAAAAAATGGCAGGTGTGACCTTAAAAAACAAGAAGAGAGCAGAGTGTATTAGGGAACAAACCGGGGTTAAGGATATCATAGTTGAAATCAAGAACGAATGGACATGGTCGGGGCATGTAGCGCGTATACAGGATAACCACTGGTCATGAC